GAAAAAATAAATGCAAAAATACAATGTCCACTACAATGGACATAAATGAATAGGTCGGGTCTCAGGAGGGATATGATAGCTCTGGTACTCCACAGAAAAAATGCCTACCTGACATAAAGTATAAAGTTGCCAGGCCATACACAGTGGAGCAGGCCCTTACCGTCCAGAGGAGGTCCTGGTAGCGGATGAGCAGCCTCATGATGTCAGCTGCCCTCTCTGCCTGCCCCTTCTCCATGCCCTCCGTCAGCCGGCTGGGGACAGCCTTGTGCAGGAAGAGGTTTGGCGCCATGATGGTGGAGACAGCCCACAGGTTCATGCGGTTCCGCTTCTCCCGGGACACCACCTTACTGAGGAACTCCAGGAGCACCTAAGTGGAGGAGGAGGTGACGTCATGCTCCTCTTGCAGAAGGGGAACCAGCTCAAGGATAACAAAAAGCTAACAGGCCCGACTGCGCTTCGCGATCCTACTGCTCTAAAAATATCGGCAAAATCTATTGCCCGTATGAACTTCAAGTCAAGAAAGTTTCATGTTTTTAAATCAGACGAGGATCCTTTTTGTCATTTTTAAAACGGAAAACACATTCACTCGTGGCTTACGTTTCTCAGAATTTATGACTGACGTGGACGTAAGTCAGCCCCCATATCTTCAGGAGCCCAGAGGAGAGCTCTCAAAGACCTGCACGGCCCACTGTCACCTCCTGCTCCTCTCACAGAAGCTTAACTGCTGCTCCTAACAGTTACTCTCACCTTGGGTGATTCATCGTTATGAAATGAATCCTGTTATCTAACACTTACGTGGGAATCACTTAAAGAGTAATTCTAACAAAGAATGACAAACACACAACTGTCATTTATGACTCATTTTAGATACATATTATTTATCGGCAATATTTACTGTAGCAACATTTTGAAATAATGCTTATTTCATTGGATTTGTAAGTGATTATATGTCTCGGTTTTGTTTCCTTGAGTGCAGATGACTGGGGGTAGTTTGTAGGTTCATAACATTTCCCAGTGAGCATTGAACCAACACGTGTACTACCATTTACCTACCCAAATGCCAGGGATTCATAGGAAAGTGAGGACTTGCAACTGATCAATGCTGGATTTTTTTGGACAACGTCTGGTGCTAAAAATGAACTTAACGTAAGATGAAAGAGTGAAATTGGTTTCTTTCGCTGACATGCAGCCCCTGAGGAACATCCCACTGGAGGTGCGGTCATGAAGCCCGCGGCGTCTCCTCACACTCACCTTCAGAGTGTTCCTGTTGGCTTCCGGAAGCAGTATGACCAGTAGGTTCAGCATGTGAAGCTTCTGTTTCAGCTCAGGAATGTCTGGAACACAGCACACATGAGCGATGACTAGGCCTGCATTTCAATAGCTGGGAAAACCTCCCGGTCCTCACGTATCGTAGGTCAATCTCTGTAAGTTGACATTTTGGATATTTTAAGTGGTGTCCCAATTCTCTGGGACATGAGTGACAGTAGCTCTTTCTATTAGAATCAAGTCACTACAATCCCTTTTGTGTACTACAAATGTAAAATAATCCACAGACAGTCATACGCTACAGTTTTAGCCATTCATAATAAAATGAGATTATTATTACATATGGTTGTATTTTTAAATGTCAGTTTGCTAGGTCTTATGCAGGTTTTATTGCTATTTACCTTAGCTAACATTAAACAAAGTGAAATGCATAGCAGAGCAAGTTTAGTGTCTTTGTTGCTTGTCTTGTTTTGCTTTGATGTCTTACATGTAAATCCACTGTGGTGTTGAAACACAACACAAGCCATACTGATTCATTGTAAATTAGCTCAATTCTAGTGATTCGGTACCTTATTGAAGAATTTTTTTACGATCAAGGTGTAACTTTTGTTAATATTGCTATTATTTGTTTGTTTGTTTTTAATCATTATTAGCTTCCATCCATCTTCTGCTCTTCAAGTACAGGATCATTGGATTATTTATTATGCTTCTTTGTTTTTGACTACATTTCGTTACTCTTTATTGCTTAGTAATTTTAACGAAAAGCAGAGACGGAGAAGTGAATACATTCCCGCATGTAGGCGTAGCCTGCCGGCGCAGACTCACCGCGCACGGCGCTGAACGTGCCGGCGCAGACTCACCGCGCACGGCGCTGAACGTGCCGGCGCAGACTCACCGCGCACGGCGCTGAACGTGTTGAGGTACTCCGCGCTCAGCAGCGGCGAGGGTAGCTCGCGGATGAACTTCTTCAGCAAGGCGGCCGCGTCGTTGGGGCTCACCTCATCCCAGTTGAAGTCCCCAGAGTAATAAGTGCCCTCCAGTTTCTGCTGCAGCATCTTGGAGCACAAAAAAAACAAACAAACAAACACAAGAGCTGCAGTGGAATGAAATATTTCATGCTGATCACGCCCCTTTGTTTAGTGTTCATTTATTTTCTGGAATCATTACAGCCACCTGGGTCTGCGGGCATGCAGCAGCCCTGCAGTAGCCACTACTCAAACTCAAATACCGTGCTGCCACCTAGTGGCCACCATGTGTTCAAGCGCTGTACCTAAATGTAAATAGCGGGCTTGTGTAGACCATGCTGTCTGTCAGTTAGCTAAGCAGCTTCAAAGGCAGATTGTTTAGTTTATGTACACGATGATTACAATGGGTAAATGAAACAGACAGATAAACAAACAGAGTGATAGAAAGAAAGAGCTAAGGGAGGGATGTTGTAGAGGGAAAAGTGTTGCTTTTCAAACTGTTCTTTAACAAGATCATTTTATTCTTTAACATTCATAAATATCTGTGTCAGCTTCTGCCAACGAAGCTCATTTTGATTTTGAATCTGAGATAAACAGTGTTAAGGTATTAAAATGTCACTTTTGCCGGAGTGTCCCACCTTAATCCTGGACTGGGACCCTGGAACTCGCAGGATGCCCTCTGAGTCGATGCCCTTCTTCTCCAGGAAGGACAGCAGCTGTGAGAAGGACACGTTAGACCTGATCGAGCTCCTCCGGCGGCCGAACCTTCATTTCAACACCCGCCAGCAGAACAACGTTCTGGTCAATGCTGTAGCACCACTGCAATTAATATTAAGCTGAAACTGCGAAAAACCAGGTCGTGTGGGATATAACTGTTAGCTATGCACGTCGCTCAGCTGAGTGATTCTTTAAATGCAAATGTACATATTTATGCATTTTTACAGCTGCTAATTACAGTGATTTTCCCCTTGAAACGCCTCCAGGTTAAAAACCTCGTGTGGGAGTCACCCTGAAGGATGTGCTTACTGCCTGCAGGACGAGAGGGACAGAGGTACAGGGCTTCAACTTCTGATCGCTCTCCACCAGCATGGCCAGAGGAACCCCGAAGAGGGCGCCTTCTGCGATGGGAGACACGCCCGGGTGAGAGATTCGCGTGAGCACAAGGTCGCCCCCTACAGGCAGCTCCACCCTGTAGCAAGCGGGGCACTGACCTGGCATCCTCCTCTTGCAGGTCTTGTGCCTCTTGACCTCCAGCTCCAGAAGGTCGCACAGGGCGGTCATGTCGATGAGAGCCAGCTGCCGCACCTTCTTCATGTCCGCTTGGGACAGGTCCTGGATGTGGGTGACCCCCAGCCGACACTGGGGGCAGATCACCTTCTGTGTGAGACAAAACGTGCACCAAACACACCAGGTCACAACCACAGCTGATGCACATGCACCGTGAACAAAAATCTGTAAATTATTCTGTCATTTTTTCCCCCAATTCTCTCCTCAAAATCATTTTAATGACTTAAATTTGATATATTTAATTACAATACATAGTGATTAGCATCATGAATGCACCTTGTATTTCAAAATTCCATTATTTTTAATTACAGACCTCGTTATTCAATCGCTGGTAAAAACCTTGTTATCTCATCATTGGTAAGTTAATTAGATTTCCTATTTATAATGGGAGTTTTTCATTTGGAAGCTTCATGGTTTCCATAGTCTGGAAATGGTGTGTGGACAGAGAGGATTGTGGGTAGCAGACAGCTGCTTACGGGTAGAGTGCCGTCATCTTTCCTGCGGGAGGTGCTGTTTTGCGGCAGCTTGGCCTGTTTGAGGAGGATGGCTGCCTGTTCGCAATACGCAATGTCAGTGATGAAGATCTCCTCCCTCTGAGTCCCTGCCTGCGGCTCCACACTGATGGCTGAAAGTCATGCAAGGAGACAAACACCTGTAATGAGTTCTCATCCTCAGTAGGGGGCAGCATAAACACTACTACCGCTAAATAAAATTCTACATATGGTCGCCATTAGATGGCAGCACCGAGTTAATAGATATTCTGATTCCCGAAAAAGCTGGTAGGGCTTCCAGGTAAAATAAGTAAATGAGTTTTATACTAGATGTTTTACAAATTCACAGTGAAAGAATTGAGAAAATTTCTCAGGGACCATTCAAATTAATCTTCCTGGGTGGCATGCAGAAGTTGATATATAGTACTGTGCAAAAGGCTTTGGCAGTCAAAGGAAATGTTTAAAGCTATAAATTGTATAATTGTATCTGGGTGGTGTAAAAGACAATTTAGTATTAGAACATGTGAAAATTAACAGTAACAATAAAAACTAACAGGAATTTCTTATTTTCTTCAAAAACGTACTAATATCTTGCTGGATGTCTAGATGAACACCGCTTTGGTTCCCAAACCTCTCCTCAGGGGCACCTCTGCCGTTCCATGGATTTATTAAATTTTATCATGCGCTCACTTAATTAATCAAATTACTTTAAAAAGTCACTGAGGTATTGATTAGCCAAACATGGTGTGCTATTGGTCAAATCAAAAAAATACACGGGTGGATTGGACAGTCGCTGCAAATACTGGGGTGACTTTAGGAGAGGTTTTGAAATGGTTAAGCTGATAGACTTTGACAGACATAATATCATAGTTTTACACCAACATGAAGATCATTTAAGCATCACTTTCTTTGACTGCCCAAGACTTTTGCACAGTGCAGCGGAAGCAGACAATTAACATTTAAATCTTTGCAAATGACACCAAAGTATAACTAAGAAGACAGACAGCTGCCGATTAATTCCCAGCCTGAGCATTCAGTAAGATAATCAGTGATGCATAACCTTACATGAACATTGTGTATGATGTACATAAAGTCTACTGCTTATCTTTGTTTTATTTTAATTGTAACCATTCATTCACTGTATACACTGTCTCACTGTAAGCATTCTGTGTTGTATGGGCCTGTCTACATTTGTTTTTGTATATCTTATAGGACAGTGTTTCCCAATACGATCCTTGGGGACCCGCAGACTATACATGTTTTTGCTCCCTCCCAGCTCCCTGGGAGTTGTAAGGGAGCAAAAACATAGACTGTCTGCAGGTCCCTGAGGACCCTTGTGTTACCATTTGTGTCACCAACAAAGACACCAAAACAAATTCCTAGTATATATAAACAACTGGCAAAACAAAACCAGTTGCGGTTCTGATGTGGTCCAGACCGACATGACCTGGACGGCAGAGGGGGGTGTAGTTCGTACCTGTTGGAGGGGTCTCCATCCTGCTCTCAGGACTCCGATGCTCAGCGTACTGAGATTCCGGCACAGTGGTCTGGGAGGGGAAGAAAGACAGACCACGAAATAAAAAGGTTATCTGGAAAATGATTATCCGTTATCCTTTCTCTGCTAAAGCGTTTTTGTGTCTTATCAGCTCGGGGGGGGGGGTGTTGAATTCCCGATATGATCTTACAGACATAATCTTGCAATTTCCATTTCCATGAGAGACAATGGCTGACCTTTGAGCGAGTGATTTTCTTTATTCGATATATCTGCACTGTGACAGGGCCTAGGGGGACCGGATCCTATCAAGGCAGCTTTGTCGGGGGCCAGGCCGGCTACAGAGGAGACCCCAGACCTGGTGTAACATGCCTCGTGGGAAGATGACCGTCTTCTCAGCTGCTGTTTGTACTTACTCTACCAGGGGATTCCTGTGCGATAAAATGCAACTTAATATTCAATTCAATTCCATTTTATTTCTATAGCATTTTCTCCAAGGGACACTGTCGCAAAGCACTTTACACAATCCTGGGCCAAAGCCCCTATAGTGAAACACAATGCAATAAAAACTCCCCCAGACAGAGTGGGAATCCTATAATAATATGATGCATGACAATCTGAAAGCAATGCCTTACTGGCGAGTTCTCTGAAGCAGGGGTGCCATAAAGGGGGGAAGTTAGGGCCCAAGTTTTAGGCCCCAGACTGACAGGGGCCCTAAAAAATTCAGGGACACATTTAGATTGGGTTGGGGTGGGGACTCAACATGATATGCTTTCATGTGGCCCAAAGTCTGTACTGGTGTCCCTGTTCTGAAGCTTCTACCATGAAAGCAACTTACAAAAGGATTTGTGGATATGCCTGGATTGCTTATTGAAGCAAATCATGTTACTCAAAGGTACAGCAGCAAGATCCTCCTCAGCTGGAATCAGCGGCCAGGACTCAGATCACCAGCCTGAATGGTTTGGCTTTCATGTGAGAATCAATCAATCAATCAATCCATCCATCCATCCATCCATCACCCACTCATCCAGTAAACAGATTTGAGGATATAACACAGTATAAATGAGCAGACACTGGACCCTCAGCTGGCCCCCTTCCCAGCCTGTTGTGTCATACCGGGGCGGTGAGTGGGGCAAATACGTCCCGCACGTCCCGCGGCGAGGGCTTGTTCCTCCGGCGCAGGGAGCAGGTATAGGAGTCGAGGCGGCGCTGCACGGCGGCGGCCTGGGTGCGCGTCAAGGTGGACAGCAGCACCGCCTTCTCCACGTCGTCCTCGTGTCCGCCGTCGCCGCCACTGATCAGCGTGGACAGCCCGGCGTCCTGCAGCCACTGCACCTCCTGCTCGCCCTCTGAAAAATGCCCCCACCCCCGCCAAGAACATTCAGAGTCATGGTGGGGGGGGGGGAGCGGGGGAGTTTCTTCAATGAATTATTGCACTTGGTTCTGTAGGTCAAAGTGTGGGTAACTAATTACTAAACAATGGAGTTGGGACAGCCTACCACAGCACAATGCCAAACACCAGGAGTGGAGCAATGAACAGTGGGCGGGACTATTGAAGCCTGCCAATCACTGCCTGCTTTAACCCACTTCCCATTGGTTATTTTACTGGCTCCTATTGGGTTAACCCAGTCAATAATTGGCAAAGTCTAACTAGAAGAGTGGACTCTACACCGTACCGATGGCCAATGATTGGTGTATTTACCTGCTCTGCTCCGGCCCTCACCTCACCTTCTGAGTTCTTGGAGTCACGCCGGGCGCCGTCCGACTCGCTGTAGGAGCCGCCCTGCCGGATGGTCTCTACCTCGCTCCAGAAGGAGTCCAGGCACAGCTTATCCGGGCGCGCCGGGGACGGCGTGAGGTCAGCGGCGGCCTGGTCCTGGGAGCCGGCCCAGGCCTCCACGTTCATCTCGGAGTGGCTGGAGCGTCTGTGAGGGCAGAGGAATGTGGTTGTCGGGGGGGGATTAGTGAGACACCACAGTACTGCTGGGTGGAAATGAGCTCAGGGTACAGGTAATGTAAAGTTAATGTACAGGTCACTGCCTCTGCCCCACTGCCATCCCCTCCTATCTGGCCCACTGTCATTCCTCTACACTGCATCTGCCCGACACTGCATAATCCCCACTGCCATCCCCTCATACTGCATACTGCGTCTGCCCCACTGTCATGCTACATCTGCCCCACTGCCAAACCCCTACTCTGCACCTGAACCACTGCCTTCCCCCTGCACTGCATCTGCCGGGTGCCATCCCCTTGCACTGCATCTGGGTGGCTGGTTGGCAGGCATATACCAGTGACACACCAATTCACAGTTACCCAGTTAAGAAAAAGCACAGGGACCCCTCCACACACTCATATTAATAATTTCACCAGTTTGTATGACCTTTTTCACTGCTCCCTCTCATGTGAGGTAGGGGATCCACATACACGTGTCATGTTTACAGAACAAAAACCTTCCTGCGATGATGAAAAAGCTTACAGACTAAAGTCGAGCGACAGATAGTGATCCAGAAAAACGCAACCAAGGGAATAAAATTAAATCCAGTGAGTAACTCTCCCCATTTCATCATTATCTGATCTGAGATGCCAGAACTACTAAACCATAACACTCAGAGCAAACATTCCTGTATTAACACACCCTTTAATCCATGGAAATTACAAATGTGCTTGCAACTGAACATCAAAAATGCGTGGCAATCGAAAACTTCACTTCTGGTGTCGTTAGTGTTCTGTCCGGGTTCCACGGCTTCCATCTTTGCATGGTTTTCCGTCTCTTGCTAACTGATTCACACATTGTATCACCCCAAAGCCATTCGGACAATGAACCAAACTTTCCAATGTGCTTCTAAATTCCTCCCTTCTTTATATGACATCTACTCAGCGGACAGCATCACTATTTATATATACAAACACAAGGAGTACAAACACAAGGAGTACAAACACAAGGAGTACAAACACAAGGAGTACAAACACAAGGAGTACACGCCATTCTCCCATAGTCTGTGAAACACCCCAGATGTCAGGGCTACTGTACACATGACCCATTGAGGAGACCTGGGTGGGCTGTGTGTGGATATGCCTGTGATCAGAAGGTTGCTGGTTCAAATCCAGTAGCCTGGAGTGTATCACTGCTAGACCCTTAAAGTGCTGCAGGCAGGCTGGCTGACCCTGCACTCAGACCCCAAGCTTTGCTCTCACCTCTGTATGTGAGTAAGATGGGATATGCAAAGACCGACAAATTCCTATGTTGTTGTACAAATGGGAAAATAAAGAGACCAGGGTGGAATGTTCCGTTTAGCTTCTGTGCCCATCAGCTTGGCTGGGAGGGATGTGCAATCATTTATCGATGGATCTATATGCTCAAGGCCTGAGAACTTCATTGGTTCTGATGTGACAGAACCACACCAGTGAAAGAGCCCACACCTCTTTTAGGCTACTGCTGGGGTCCCCCCCCACACACACACAATTACAGTGCCTCTATATAGCCAATAAACCTACAATATTGCACACCAAAAACAGACCTGGTGAGCAGGACCAGTCAATCCTAGGTGACATAAGCAACTGCCATCAGCTGAGAGGTGCTGAGTCTGTGAACTGCTGAAACAGTTGTGTGTGTGTGTGTGTGTGTGTGTGTGTGTGTGTGTGTGTGTGGGGGGGGGGATTATCACCTTATAAGCCAAAAGTCGAAAGACAAATCTTACGGTGTAAACAAACATACAGTTTAAGGTCCCAAAGCATCAATCAGCGAGAGAAATTAATCATCCAGATTGTCAGCAATGTCAATTATAAAAAAGCGTTACTTTTTTTGCTTTCAAGTACAAGATAATCAGAAGAAACTATTCATATTTTGAAGTGAATTACAGAATTGATATAAAAGACATTTATGCAACTCATACTCTTCATGCATTATTCTGTATAATATACATATATTAGTATATATATATGCAGTGTATCCCTTTGAGACAGAAAAAAACACACCAGTTTATTACTAATAATTAGCATCTTTGTCAGTTCAGTTCTAATTCAGTCTGCAGCATAAACCCAAAGGTGCGGTTCTCGTACCTTAGCTAGCTGGATGCGAATGTGGATCTCGAGTCTGCGCAGAACTACCAGGCTGCGCCGCATTCTTTGCCGAAACTGCGCCCCTGTCCACACGCTGCCTCATTCTCACGCGTGGGCAGCGCAGCCACCCTCGGCTCGGCAAACAGGCCAAATCCACCCCACTCACCCCCTCCAATCTCCTACTTCAGCCTTTCGTGCATTTTGAGTCAAAAAAGCAGACTCGATTTCGTCCTTTTCCTTAGAACTACGCGGGTTAGATGTTCAGAACCTGGAAAAAGACTGTGATGAGCAGAACGGTTCGTCAGTCGGTCCAAACGATATTGATATGTGTGCCGCGGAAACACTGACTCAAACCTGCCCGTTTCCCCCTCCATCTGATTTCCAGCCATCATCCCGGGTTGCTGAGATTGCATCACACAACCTGAAACATTACAGCCAATTACCGCTGGTTTCTAAAAATAGCCCTTGTGGAGCTTCAGAGAACAGGAGCCAAGCATTGATTGGGGATGTCAAAGGAGAACATCAGGAGGATGCATCCTGAAACGTCTCAGTGTGCAGCTCGGGGATTCCTTGTTTGTGTCTAGTTTTCTGGGAATGAGAATCAAAAGGCTTAATTTCAAATTGCTACATGGGTTTCTTTTAAAAAAAAAAAAAAAAAAAAAACCTATTTGCAATCAAATGAAAGTCTTGTTTGACTCTATGAACAACCGAATGAAGCAGCTTTTGTTCTATGGTCTGGCCGGAATTGCAAGTTCAAGTATTGCCCAGTTTTAGTTTGATATTCAAGAAGGTCAGGTGTGTACCATCCTTGCAGCCCAGCACTAAGCCACCTCCGACATGCTGGCAATCAGACCTCAACCCCAACGGTCCGCTAACAGCAAAGTGGCCATTCAGATATCCTGCAGCCATCTGAGCGACAGAAGGGGAATTTCCACTGCTGCATCTCAATGCCTGGTATGTTCACACAAAGCAGCTGAGTCCCAGGGAGAGTTAATGCCCTTTAAGAACGTCGCTACACACAGACCGAGGTAACTGCGTAAGGCGACGTCAAGCAACCATGACAGCAACGTCACGGGGCTCCCAGCAGCTCCTGAAGGAACGGTGAGCAGCTTCACCATCACCAAGACAGCATCTGGGACCAAGACTTCATTCCTCAAGAGCATTACATGAAAATCCTCTGAACGCTTAAAGAGTTCAGGTACCGCGAAACTTTAACTTAAGAATCTTGCGAGATCCTGGCAAGATCAAAAGCCCGACCGACACAAAGCTTCTAGAGGAATACGTACCTAAAAGAGTCCGCGCCAAAGGAATGCGGACACGGAGTGCACCGACCGGACGAAAACGGTGTCCACACTCACCTGGCAACCCCTCACGACACCATGTGACCTTCCAAGACTGCGTTTTTTTTTGTTTTCCGCGAGCCGACGAGCGCTCACCTGGCCCCCGGGCGCTCGCTAACCCTGCCGGCCAGCTGCAGCAAGGCCTGGGAGGCCCCTCTCCCCCACGGCATCCTGGTCTTGGGACCACCGGCGCGTCGCGAATGGCAGGAAACGACAGCCCGTCTGCTCGCCGGCAAGCTGCTTCCCCCGTATGACTGTCTCAGGGCGTAAACACATCGCGAGCGAGGACAGCGCCGCGGACGCGTCATATCCTGCCACAGGAAAGGAGCGGGCCAGGGGCAGCGGCCAAGGGGCAGCGCTTCGACATCACTTCCACTGGGGAGGCTCGTTTTGGGGGGGGGGCGGTAGCAAGCTGGCCCTCGCTTCCACCAACAGGCACTGAATATGGCTCCCTATGGGCCCCCCCCCTTTACACCACCCACACCGATCCAGCAAATACTGAGCGGGGCGATCCAGCACCCACGGATGCACCACTCCACCTACTGATCACCGTTACCATGCCAACCAGTGCTGTCATCTCTGTGATTCTGGGCTGGACACGAGACTCCTGAAAATGATATTAAAAACAGACGCTGCATGTCACTTCACCACCTAAACGAGCGCTTCCTGCTACACTGGCAACCTGCAACCCAGTAAATCCGCCTAAAAATGGGTCAATTCGCTTGCACGCTAATTCACCCCTCTGATGGTGTTTGTAAATCACAAAGGATTGTGAGGGTGGGAACTTTGGACCCCAACTGTTTGAGTTTCTGTGGAAAAAGCCTTGGAAATTCCTGAAAGATGATCATCACAAGGTGTTCACACAATCCGTGCACAGGAGGGACTGCAGCATGTCAAGAATCGCGCATGTGACCGACAAGCCACCCATTCAAAATGTCAATAAACAACTGCTATTCCTTTAAGATGCATTGAACGACCCTGAAGGCCAGGATGTGCGATGACTGAGGATCCCCCGGATCGATAAGCCTGCTGTGCCACCCAACTATTAGACATGCCATAAAAAATTGTCAGTAAGTCAAGTCACTCTATTTTCATTTCACACGCGTTTCTACAGACCAGTATAATATAATAACAGCCAGAAAAAGGAACAGCCGAGAAACAAACACCGAACAACAAATACTGACAGGAGAATAAAGGACAAAATAATAAAAATAAAAGAATTAAAATGAAAATAGAATAAAAAAAAAAAAACAGGATACAATACACAACAATGACGCAGTGCAAATAATACAAGTAAACAGATGAACGGTGCCCTTTTAAATGGTTGGGGAAGCAAGAGGAGGACCGAACATCTGGAGAGCTAGTCACACATGGCCTCAGCTAAGTGATTTTTCAGAGGGATTACGTTCCCCCTGCAAATGGCAGCTGGTCCGAAACCCAGGGGAGCCTCCCCCCCCCCCCAGTAGTCTGCCCCCTCCCAGATCAGAGATTAAGTGGCGGCATTGTGACCAGGCTGCTGCTTTGGTGTCCAGGCTAATAAAAGCATACAGGGAGAAGGGCGTGATCTCGTACAGCCATGTGACCTAAGGGGGCCTGCAAGGTGAGGGAGGCAGTGTACCTGCCTCGACTCTTTAGGATCCTCATCTCCATAGAGGCACTCCTCCAACCCTACCTGGGGGAGACAGTGTACCTGCCTCGACTCTTTAGGATCCTCATCTCCATAGAGGCACTCCTCCAACCCTACCTGGGGGAGACAGTGTACCTGCCTCGACTCTTTAGGATCCTCATCTCC